ATGGCTGGCGCTCACATGTCCCTTGATCCCCCCACCGGGGGGGGAGGGGGGGGGCGCGGGCCACGGCCACCTTTTCCCTCCCATGTAGTCAGGGAACGGGGGGGGGGGGGGGCACTGGCCATTTGACTCTACCGTATGGGCAATGTGTCTCGCGCCCACTCCCGTGATAAAGGATGGGGGGACGTGACGTGTCACGTGGTTCGTCTATGTTAGTGATTTTGTAAATAAAGGTAGCGGTCTGCATTTTAAATGGTTTAGTGTGGAGGCGAGGCCGGAGTGATTCGGTCATGCGGCGACAGGACACTCGCGCCTGGCGTGGGTGGGCATGGTGACTGAGGCTGTTAACACGCGCTTCGGCGCGACGGGCCGCCCGTTAGCCCGTGCCGAGGCTATCTTGATTTTGTCGTTCGAAGCGGCACTGAGGAGGCGCAGCGACTCGTCATGGCCCTCATCTTTCCTGTGTCGCGGTCAGGCGCGGCGTACGGGCCACGCCGCCATACCCATGAAGGTTTCCTTTTGCTGTGACGTCAGTCTGTGGGATAGCTGGACGGCTTTACCTTTCTCGCTCTCTTAATTTGCTTTCCGATTGTTTGGGGCGGCCGGATCCATATCGGCCACGTCTAGTGTACCCGCACTAATTTTTTCAACGCGCGATATCTTATCCCTTCTTTATCGCGCGCCCGACCTAATTTATTGACTGAGTTTGCATGGCATCCGTGCGCGTGTATTTGGTTTTTTCGTTGCTGTTTTTGTGGTTAATTGCCTTATCTAAGCGGGACATTTTGCCTTGGAATCGACGAGGTCAACTTTTGCCGGACGGTCAGACCTGCGTTCGATACGCAACTTGCCGTCCTTTCCCGAAGGTCAAATAGTAGAGGGACCGTAACCGAAGGATGATAGGCACAGAGCGCGCCCGAGCAGCGCGGCTTGACCACGGCAGGGCTGAGGAGCCAGACGACCGCACTCCTGCTTCCACGCAGATGTACGCTTGTGGGTACTGCGAGTCAAGGGCACAGTTTCGTTTTTTAAGAGGCGGTTCATTCGTTTTGTCGTTCCTCACTTGACCCCAGCCGTGACGGCATAAGGAGGCATAGGTCATGGTATGACCCAGGACCGGTGAGGACCGCCCGGGATACCGGATTATGCACGACGGCAGTGGGGTCTGTCCGCTGGTGTCCTTGGGAGAAAACAGGACACAGCCTGCTCCCTTCCGATGATGTGTACGCCAGGCCCTATGAGCGCTTGATGGCAGGATGTTCGGGACGAATAGAGATCCCGCCATCGACGCTCATAGGAAGCGCGACGAAGAACCCCGTCGTCGGACAGGCCGGTCAGGCCGAGTCTCCAGAGCGTGCCGGCCGATGCGACCGTAAAGCGTGAACGCAGGTCACGCCGGGCGCTCATCGTCTGCCGAGGGACTCCATCGTCCCATCGGGCGCGCCGTCTACCTCCAGGTCTTAAGGAACGCGCCGTGGGGTGGTGCCTTGCAACGCTCACGAGGCGCTGCTCGGGGAGCGTGCGAGACAGCGGAAAGCTGCGAGCGGTGGGCGTGGCCAAATGAATGACGGGCCGCACTTCGTGGACGGAACGCGGGAAGCGTCGTCCGAACAGGGAGTCATCTCCCTGGAGGTGAGGCGAGGGAACGAGTCGCCGTCCAGCTTCGGACACCTGATGTCAGCCCAGCAGCTGCGTCCGTGCCGAGCTGACAAACTAACTTCCGACATTTTACATTAGGCTTAAACGTGGCTTCATTGAATGTTTGAAATCTGATAAATAAATATAAATTCAACTTGACGAGGAATCGCCAGACGTGCCAGTTATAATGCCAAGGCGCTGGACAAAACAGCCGGGGGGGCATCCATATGCGAGCCAAGGATGAGTGCGGTGACGCGGGCGCCGGCGTATGTGTACGCTTGGAGTGAATGTGGCGGGGCGCCGAATGCATTGAGTCTGTGGGCTCCCAGGGTTGTTATCCAACGGGCCCTTGTCAGTATATTTCGCCAAATGCGTGGGACACTTGCCAGCTTGGCGTATTATCGGTGCATGCAGTTCCGTTTTTGCCCCGTTTAAATAGTATCATAAGTAATACCCCGGCCACCCGCTTCATCCTAGCTCTGTGGCTCATACGAGTGTGTGCTGATGTCAAGTGTACCGAAGTCACAACGTGCCGAGTCGTGTGCTTCATCATCTGATTCGTATGCTGACCAACGGCCACTCAGTATAAATTCGCTCTTGTGGGGAGGCGTGCCAGCGGCAGCCGGCGGCGCACAAATATCCAGCGGCGGCCCAGCAGCAGCGCACGACGCCCACCACAGAAACCCCCACAAAGATCCAAAGGTGTTCCAGGCCTCGAGGGGAGGGGAAAAGGTGCCCCCAATGGCTGAATCAGCGTCCATGTGGTTTGACAATATGTCTCGATGTCAAGAAGGATGCCCTGAACAATAAAGGACATCGAAAGATCCCGGACTGGAAGGGCGACCCTCCGAGGACTAATTCGCCCTCCCCCCCCCCCCCCCTCCTCCCTCCTCGTAGTCGATGTCCCGCGGGCGAGAAGAAAACTCTTAACGCTAAAATGGCACCTCAAGAGCTGGAGAGCCGCCTCGATGGCCCGCAGGGCGCCCCTGAAGTTTGAAGATGCGTCCCGAGGGCAACAAGAACGCCCTAAAGAATAAAAGGGAGAATCAAAGCCCGGAGGGACGCCCTGCGGGCTCAAAGGGCGCCGCTGTCGCTCACAGTATGCCCCATGACCAGGTCTAAGGATGCTCTAAAAAAAAGGTCTCCTATGCTGGGCCCCCGCGGGCTAAAAAGGAGTCCTTGTAGTTTGAAATTACGTTCCTTTGTGTAGAAGAATGCTTTTAAGAATAAAAGGGCGTCCTAAGCCATCGAGAGGCGCCCCGGTGATCCAAAAGATATCCTTGCGGTCTAAATATATGCTTCGAGGTCTAGAAGGATGCGCTCAAGTCATGAGTCAGCAATGCATGAAGCACAATGTATTTAATGCGCGTCGCTGCAGCCGCCAGAGAGGGGTCGATAAAATGGTTCAAGGGGCCAACCCTTCCCCCCTCCCCCCTCCCCCACGACAGCGCGGAGCTTGGAGCGTGGGCTATGGTGGCGCGCGAGTGAAGCGGGCAGCTGTCCTGGAAAAGTAGCTTGCTATTTCCATGAGCGGGGTACAGTGTTTGCGAGATCGGATTTCACTTGAGCTAAACCATATGGCTATCTCCGTGGTGCAGATAAATTAGCCAACTGTGTACTTCCCGTGGTCTTTTCAGCAATTTTATAGAATGAATCGACCAAAATTAGAGTTCTTTCGAAGTAGGTTTGACGCCGCCCTGATTAAAAATGGCGCCCCCTTGGAGAGGGTGCCTCTCCCCCGGTCGGAATTCCTGAATCCGTCCATGTTTGTCGATGTCCGCACTCTTGTTACCAAGGCACCTAAAAATTGGCAGGACATCACCAAAACTTTCGATGCATATGAGCAAACATGGGAATGCTGGGGTAAAGAAATACAGCAAGTGTCTGAACTGCGGTACACTAGGTACCTGAACACAATACTGCCAATATCATCATTATGTAGCATTATTACCATCACATCGACTTTGAGTAGGAAGTCATTCCGCCCCTTCAAAACCATTTGAGACCGACCACATGGTTCTTACCGTTAATTTTGACATCAGGGTGAATCAGAGTGACCAAGATCTGGGGAGAAATCAGCATTTCGGGGCGGGTTAAGCTAACTTTATTTGCTTGGCCCGTAACCTACTTCAGAAAGTGACACCCTGCTCGCGGCGACGAACGGCAATCGAAAGACTGCTCTCTCGTCCGGCGGTAGATCCGCCGCAGGCTACGAGACGAAAGCACCGTGGCAGACAGGCCACGCCAGCGCACTGCCGAGGCACCAGATGTCCCTCTGACACGCAGCCGTCCCACCGCCGCCACCGAGACACCAGACGTCCCTCGCACACGCAGCCGTCCCATCGCTGCCACCGAGACACAATACGTCTCTCTGACACGCAGCCGCCGCCGCTGCGACCGAGACACCAGACGTCCCTCTGACCCGCCGCCGTCCTACCGCTGCGACCGAGACACCAGACGTCCCTCTGACACGCCACCGTGCCACCGCTGCTACCGAGACACCAGACGTCCCCCGCACACGCAGTCGCCGCTGTTCCGTGTGCTCTGTCGCCGCCCTGTGTTGGAACGCAGGACAATGCCGGGGTATGATGCACCGCTCCTCCGCGGTCATCCATCTGTTTGTCGTGGCGGTACGCGGTCTCGGGGCGGCAGCCGTCCGCCTGTAAACACGGGCTAACGTGGCGGGGTGGACAGGGCGGTCAGGTCAGCACAGCTGAACACGGACCAGCGGGGCGGGGTGGACAGGCCGGTTAGCACAGCTGAACACGGACCAGCGGGGCGGGGTGGACAGGCCGGTCAGCACAGCTGAACACTGACCAGCGGGGCGGGGCTGCGTTGGCTTTCTGCTTAAGTAATTCACATTAGCTTGAGCATGCGCGAAGTAGCAGAACGGCCTCTGGATTAAGCTCCCACAAATGCCATCTGACTCGGGCTTGGTAGCACTTGCAGCGACAATGTGCCTGAGGCACTTAGCTCCCTGCCGCAGGCACTTCTACTCGACAACTTGACCATGTTGCTGCGCCCTTGCGCGTGTACTGCGCGGCAGTGTACATACTGCTGGTGTCTGATGGAATCGACCGCAAAGGCTTCAACCATTTTCTCAAATGAAACCATCGAGGCGAAAATCACATAAATCCACGATTTCACCATTTGTGACGATGTATTGCCAAAATATGGTGTCACATGACAGCAGTGAGCTCACCTGACGCCCGTACGCACCCCTTTCCGTGCTACATCCATCAAAACACATCTACCTTTCAGTGCCTTCCACAAAGTCCCGGCGGTCGGGCCAACTCCCCATCACCCCGTGAGTGGCGCCTGGTAGCCGTCTGTAACGCGGTCGGCACGCGGCGCCGGCAGGCCCGTCAGCGGCGGACCCCCGCTTCGACCGGTCCCAGTCGGCGCGCCGCCGAACACCAGCTCGGCACGTCCGGCTGGCAGAAGCGGCTGCAGGGGTCCCCAATCACGTCAGCCACGCACGAGCGGTTAGTTGATTTCGCCCTCATCAGATCACGTCAGATTCTGCGCTCGAGGGGTGGGCGTGGAAGGTGGGCAGCCCACAGCACCTCCAACCGTGGGAGGTGGCCGCCATGATGGGCATCACCGTGTCCAAAATATCGCCGCGGTCACCACTTTGCCGGAAAAGGCAAGAGTTAAGCGCTTGTCCGGATAGTTAATTTCAAAAGGTCGCCATATGAAACATCAGATGACAAATGAGTAAGGTGTTCTGATAGACTCGGAAATCGCATCCCAGTAGTAAACAAAATATTTACTTGCATGCTCCTCGAGCCGTTACGTCACCTGTAACGGTTAAGCAGGATTCTAGTAGCATTATCTAATTTGTTGCTTCGTATGCCTCCACTTCGAACTATGATTGAAACGGACGAAATGTTCCTTCAGTATTCTACGTTAAGTAGGTAAGTCAGATTGGGGCAGTGATGTAAGAAAATGACGCGAAATCCTCGGCACAACCTCCTCATGTCGGTGAGCAATCACACGTTCGTTGGATGAGCATTAGGAGACAAGACCACATCATTACGGCATGGAAAACAAAGTGATCACTTCATGGCGTACTCTTCGTGCATGATGAAGCATTGAACATTAGCTTTGGCATCATAACAACCATGCCACATGTCAACAGCCGTGGTAAACTACGTCAGTACTGCAACACATCAGCTTCCAAAGTCCTTTGGCTCTAAATGACCTAGCTACGACGCATCGATATCAACTCCGTGAGATTCCCGGCTTCCGCCATCCCAAACCCACATCTTCACCAGCTCCACTACTACGACACAGCACGATCTCGACGACCACCCGGACGAACCGAGCCCACCTCCCCCAGCCAGTCCGGATACGGCGGCCACAGCGACACCACCCCATGGCACGGCCTCGTGCACGCCTCGCGCCGCGCCGTTCGTAGCATGGCACTGTCGTGAGGTTGTGTTGAGCACCACAGGTCACCGGACGGCCGTTACAACGCGGTGATACGCGCAGTCGGCGGCGCCCGTCAGCTGGCCTGCTGCAGCGCCGCAGGAGCGGCCGGCGGCGCCCGTCAGCTGGCCTGCTGCAGCGCGCAGGAGCGGCCGCGGCGCCCGTCAGCTGGCCTGCTGCAGCGCCGCAGGAGCGGCCGGCGGCGCCCGTCAGCTGGCCTGCTGCAGCGCCGCAGGAGCGGCCGGCGGCGCCCGTCAGCTGGCCTGCTGCAGCGCCACCGGAGCGTCCCGGCGGCCCCGTCAGCTGGCCTGCTGCCGCCACCGGAGCGTCCGGCGGGGTCAGCTGGGCTGCTTCAGCACGGCGCGCACGTCTTCGGGCAGGCTGCGCGTGACGTCGCGCAGCTGGAGCCGCAGCTTGGCCAACGTGCTGGCGTGCACCGGCAGTCGGTCTGTGTCGGCGTCAGCCAGCTTGCGCCGCAGCCGCAACACCAGGTCCACCACCTCCACCTCCTGCTTGTCCTTGACCCAGGTCAGCACGTCCTGCCGGCAGCCGGACGTCACTAGCGTGACGTCGCGTGGTCACTGGTGTGGTGGCCGTCACCCGGTGACGGCCGCCACACCAGTGACCCGACGAGGTGGGGGCATAGCTGACGATGGTGGCGTCAATGTTACGTGATGTTAATTGTGAAGTTGATAGCTGATCTCTGGTGAGTCATTGCTTTGGCATGATGTGACGATTCTTGGTGATACGCCACCGCTGCTGGTGTTGAAGGTACCACGGCTGTGATGTGATGTGGCAACTGCTGATCATAGCGATCACTTCAGGGACGCAGTAACCGCTGCTTACGGGGGAGTCAGTTCCGTAACGTGTTGACTGTTGGCGTCAGCACCGGTATGGCCGCCGCTGGGCCAATAACTATGTTAATCCCAGACGGACGGCCCCCAGCGAGAGAACGACCAGCGGAACAACAACCGTAAGTAACAGATTGCGAACACCACCTTTTTATGTTTCTCTGACGCGTCAACATCTAGAAAAAACGCTGGAGCGAACAATTTGGCATATGTGGACTCCCTGGGCCTGTGAGCCACTCTGACCCAGAAGCAAACACCATCGCAGTTGACGCACCATTAAAACCCGAGAGCCCACTGACCACTCTGGCCCACCCCTGGTACTGGGGTAACGACTGACAGATGACTCAGCCTCGGCACTAGTACTGACCCGCACACTACTGACCCGCCGGTTCTGGTCCTCATCCACAGGCGATTGAGCAGTCCCACACGCGACTGACCCCTACCGTGGTGCGCCGACCGGCACACGGCCGAACCCCAGACATTGATCCCCGCACGACGGAATGACTCCGACCGAACCCCAGACATTGATCCCCACACGTCCGAATCACTTACGCTGGTACTGACCTGAACACGACCGAATCACTCACACCGGCACTGAAACTCACACGAGTAGACACCCCTCATTGGTACTGATTCATGCACGACTGAATCACTCACACTGGTACTGATCCAAACACGACTGAATCACTTACATTGGTGCTGCAACAAACGCGTCTGAACCACCCACAATGGTACTGAGCCCCACGTGACTAAGCCCCATCACTGGCACAGATCCACAAACGACTGAATCACTCACGACCCCACGCGCAGCTGAACGCTTGGCACCGGCCTGGACGTCACACGTCTAATCCATGCAGCGGCACTGATTGACAGCGGCCTGAGTGGCTGCGGCTGGCGGCGACGCCACTCACCGCGTCACTGAGCGGCTGTGGCTGGCAGCGACGCCACTCACCGCGTCACTGAGCGGCTGTGGCTGGCAGCGACGCTACTCACCGCGTCACTGAGCGGCTGTGGCTGGCAGCGACGCCACTCACCGCGTCACTGAGCGGCTGTGGCTGGCAGCGACGCTACTCACCGCGTCACTGAGCGGCTGTGGCTGGCAGCGACGCCACTCACCGCGTCACTGAGCGCCTGTGGCTGGCAGCGACGCCACTCATCTCGTCACTGAGCGGCTGCGGCTGGCAGCGACGCCACTCACCGCGTCACTGAGCGCCTCCAAGTGCAGGGCCTGCAGCTTGCGGCTGATATCGTCGTGACGCTCGTTGAACCAGTGGCTGAAGTTGGTCGAACGGAAGAAGCGTCGGTAGAGCCCCACCTGCCTCCGGAATGATGGTTAGTGCGGTACGGTCCGGCCGGAACGCCATGACGCCATACACGACTGTCCGGAACACTGTCACATCACACACGACGGGCTGGAACGCCGTCACACACACACACGACGGTCCGGAACACCGTCACACCACACACACGACAGTTTTGAGCACCTTCACACCACACACGACAGTTTGGAGCACCGTCGCACCACGCACGACGGTCCGGAACACCGTAACACCACCACGGCGGTCCGGCACACCGTCACACCACACACGACAGTTTGGAGCACCGTCACACCACACACGATGATCCGGCACACCGTTACACCACACACGACGGTCCGGCACACCGCTACACCACACACGACGGTTCGGCACACCGTTAAACCACACACGACGGCCACGGCCCGGAACACCGTCACACCACCCACGACAACCCGGCACATTGTTTACACCACACACGACGATCCGGCACACCGTTACAACCCACACACGGTCCGGAACACCGTCACAAACCACACACGACGGCCCGGAACACCGTCACACCACACACGACGATCCGGCACAGTTTACACCACACACGACGATCCGGCACACCGTCACACCACACACGACGGTCCGGAACACCGTCACACCACACACGACGATCCGGCACACCGTCACACCACACGACGATCCGGCACACCGTCACACACCACACACGACGATCCAGCACCCTTACACCACACACGACGGCCCGGAACACCGTCACACCACACCACCGACGGTCCGGAACACCGTCACCCACACACACACACACGATCCGCACACCGTTACACCACACACGACGATCCGGCACACCGCTACACCACACACGACAGTCCCGAACACGGTGAACGGGCTGACCCGTCGCATGCCTCTTATAGCTATTGCGTAGTAGCACCACACGAAGAGCACCGTCTCAGAGAGTTGGCTTCATCTGATTGTACGTGTTTGCGGTAAGAACTATCACCGTTCTGCATGACCACGGAGCAACAGCCACGACCAGGCGTTGTTCCCGCCGGCCGCGAGCCGCGAACCTCGGCTGGCAGACTGCTGAGAGCGTGCGTGGCGCGAGCGCTTACCCAGTCTCCTTTGATTCCGGTGGTGAGCTGAGGCCCGGAGTCGCCCAGGCGCTGGCAGAAGTCGTCCGGGTTGAACGGGCGCGCATCACCGGCGCCGCCCTGTGAGAAGGTGGACGACCAATAACACTACATCAGGGACCCTGGTAACAATGATTCACAGACAATGCGGGTGATCCTCACCAAGTGCAACACCCTGGTGTGCGGACACACACAGGCGAGACCACATCGTAACCACCACCTGCATAGTTCACCACGGCATAACAGCTGGCCAGCCGGTGCGACCGGAGGCGGCAGCGCAGCAGCAAGACCCGGCACCGGCGCCCTCCCCTCCCCCGGCGGCTGGCCGATCCCAGACGGCCGCAGCGCAGCCAGACCCGGCACCGG